AATAATTAATTATAACATTTCACAAATAATAACATTTCATCTTATAACAGTCACATGTCACATCATTGGTGAGTCTGTCTCTGTATCCCCCTCTCCTTCTCCATCCACAGAATGGGGAGGAGGGGGTGGTAGGGATGAGAGATCAGGGGTCACGCTGAGGAGATCTGGGGGTAGTGGAAGGACCAGGGCAGGATGGAGGAGACGGAGGGAAGCCCTGAACCCCTCCCAGGCATCTCTTTCCCCTTCTGCTGCTTTTACCTGGAGGAGAGATGGCCTGCTGTTTGAAACACGTTTGCTTTACAAATGCTGCTGAGAAACCAGAAGTGGTCTCACTTGCAGGGGTAAAGAACCATTGTTTTGCAGGCTAAACTAAGGCTATGCTCTGGACTGGAAAAACATAGCAAGATGGTTTGATGGTGTGTTTAAAATGTATCAGCTATCTTAGGTAGAAGTTTAATGTTCTTAAAGTTTTACAATTAAAGCTGATGTCATACAAATAATATTTAAAATGCAAAAACAAGCATTAGAATATAAAACGATAAGCATTAGGTTACAAAAGGCTGCTATAGTTACTTACTCTGACTTGGTGTTGTCTCTTGGCCTCAACCTCAGCAGCTAGACTCTGCTGTAACTCCACAGGACAACTGAGCTCGTCTCTGACAGAAAATCAAACACAAGCCTGGTCAGCAGGAAGATCACAGTATGCTACAAATCTCTAGATTCCTCTTGGCCATTTTACCTGGAAAAATCACTGCTTGCAGAGGAAAAATCATTTGCACACAGAAAGTGGATGTATTTTTCAGAAGCACTGCCACCTCTTTGGATTGTACATATTATATATATATATTGGGGCGGCTGTGGCTCAGGAGGTAGAGCGGGTTGGCCGTTAATCGGAAGGTCGGCGGTTCAATGCCTGGCTCCCCCTGGTTGCGTGTCGAAGTGTCCTTGGGCAAGATACTGAACCCCGAATTGCCCCTGGCGGCTATTCCGCCAGTGTACGAATGAGTGTGAATGTTAGTTTCCGTTTGAGCACTTAGGCTCAGTGTATGAATGTGTGTGACTGGTGAATGCAGATGTAGTGTAAAAGCGCTTTGAGTGGTCGAAAAGACTAGAAAGCCGCTATACAAGTACGGAGCATTTACATATCAGCTTCTTTTTCTTCGGGGCTCATAGGTTTCTTCAAAAATCCACTAGATTCTCTTTAGCCAACTGGTAAAATCCGATTTTGCTGTCAGGCCATCAGAATCAAGAGCTTCTTCCTGTAGCTACTGTTTTGCACTAATGTTAAACAATCGTACTTGGTCACCCAGAGTATGGGCATCAGAATGCACTGGTACCACAGATGTAATATGCTTTTTGATTTTTAGTTTTGGCTTCTACTTACTAAATGAAGTGTATGCAGTGGAGGAAGGTTAATACAAAACAGATAATCTAGAGCAAATGACCAGTCTTACATGTCTGCTCTCTCCACCCTGATGCCCCAGCGGCAAGCAACAGAGTCAACAGCTGCTTGTATTTTCTGTCCGATCCTCCTCCTGTGCAGCAGGATGTGGCTGAATGTGTGTTGGGCAAGAATGTCTCTGACCACTGCCTGGACCAGAGTCTGCAGCACTGTGGTGAGACTAGACAGAGCTGCGCTGCACAAAGCCACGTTCTCTATCTGGTAATAACAAACTGCACTCAGCTCTGGCCTCACCAAGTCCTTTGTCACTACCTGGGTACAGACATATAAGAAAAATATGACAAATAAATTTGATCTCTTTATGGAGATTTACTCTATGTTCAGGGAAAGCAAGGTGCATATACAGAAAACAGTTAATTTAGTAGTAATTTTTACGTTTGGAGCTAAATGTGAATATGTTAGTTGTGTTTTTGCTTATTGTTCTGTACCGTGTGAGGAGGAACCTTCAGCATTTTCAGTCGGATGTCAACCTTGTGACACACATCAAGTAGTGGGAGGTAGAAAAGAAGGCCTGGAGAGGGAAGGGAGAAGGGTTTCATCCAAGGACAGGTGCTCTTTTTAAAAATGTTTTTGCTATTACTTTGGTGTGATAGAAAACATTCAGATCTCAGACTAAAACATTTAAACTAACTGTGGGGTGTCCGAACCTTTCGTGACTCTGTCAGCTGTATGATCACACAATTCAAACACTGACACACATCCTCAGAAATAGCAAGTCAACTGTTTTGGCACATTGTTAATGTTAAATCACAGCTGACTGATGAGCATAAACGATTGCAGCAATAGGTGACAACCTGGTCCTCTGGGTCTTCCACGTAGTAGGTGACCCAGTCTGAAGATCACAGCTCTCTCATGCTCCCTCACTACCTGTCAATCGAAATTACAGACATCAGTCAGTCCATATGAATGGATGACAGTGATGGCTGAAATAGGCCTGCTGTTATTCAATGCTTTTGTTCAATAACATACAGTGTATCAGTATGTATATCAATATTATCAATAGTATCAATATTCACTAATTTCTCCAAATATTTAACTTCTTGTTGAGGGGGGAAAGGTGGAAACAGTATTTTGACAATTAAGAGACATCTATCATTGAAAGTGTTTGGTTTCTGTTTGGTCTGTGGGGTAGTTCGTACTTTGACACAAAACCAGATGGAAAGAGGGAGGAAGAGGAGAACCAGAGCCAAGATGAAGACCATCAGCAGCCACTCAAACACTCCCAGGTTCTTGCGCTTCAGACCTGCAGAGATCCACAGTATTTAGTGTGGAGAAATCCAACTAAGATGCTCAGATCAAATAGAATCAAGAGTCATTTTGCAAACAGCATTTTCACAAGAGTTGAGTTATGATGGGTCTATACAGAGAAAAATGCTCTAATCAACAAATTGCAAAGTTGAATTGAAGTTGAAATTGACATTCCTATTTATTTTATTATCTGTCATTTGTTTTCTAGAATGTATGCTTCAAGAAATTCAACATAAAGACAATTTCAGGCCACAGGATTACATATTTCTTTATCTTAAGAACAACACACTGGGAAAAACTAAACAACCCACAAGAGAAATAAACCCACTGCTTAGCTTTCTTTAGATACAATGTACCAGGCTTTTCTTCAAGATTCAACTTACCATCCTCCTGCTCTGCTGCTTCCAGGAGCCCGAGGTTCTCCTCTTTGACCTCATCCTCTCTCACGCTGTCTATGTCCACCACAGTGGATTTCGCCTTCACTTCTGGCTCCTGCTCCACCGTCACCTCATTTGTCTCTGGCTTCTCCTTTTGTAGCCTCTCTTTCCTCAGTGATGATGCCTCAGGGACCCGGCTTGCCTTCGGTGGCCTTTGTCGATGGCTTCTGGGAGGCACAAAGGCTCCCTTCTCCCTGTCCTTCTTAGGCGTCATTCTGGATCTTGGTGGGTGACTGGGGTTGAAATTGAAATTGGAGGACTTCTCCATACTGGCTGGAGGCCCTGCAGTAAAGAGTATAGGAGTGATGGCTGTTGGGATGTTTCTGCTCGATAGCTTAGTGTAGGATTTCCTTTTTAGGTGAAAGCAGAGAGGAAGGAGATATGTAGTGACTTTAACTGCAGTGTGTTGCTTCCTGTGGCCATCAGACAGAATAGGTGGATGGTAAATCAGGAGGACTGTTTGAATGTGGGAGTTTCAGAGCAGTGGGAGTGCCACTTACCACCCTCTCTGTTCTTCCCATAATTTCAGGTCAGTGAACTTTTGTATGTTGTCAAAGCAGCAAATTAAAAAACGCATTTTAATAATAATGTGAAAAAACATCACGGATATGGTAATAATATTAAGTTGTGATGGACAGGGCATCTCTTGATTTATAAGCCAAAAAATACCTCTCTGTTCTCCTTTTTCCCAAAATCAGTGTGGCTTTATCACATACAATCAAAACATGCAGATTGCTGGTTGAGTTTATGTCAGCAATATTCTCTTTCATCTACTAGCATTATTCTTTGCTAACTCTTATCCAAATGCTCTAACAAGGGTAAAACACAGTATCGTATTTATGGTACTCTTCACTCCATCCAATGTTTTATTTAGCTGTTACATCTTAGAAGCCTTTGATTCTGTCACAGAATTAGACACAATCTGTCTAACTCTGTCTTGTAGGGACAGGTTTTTACCATTTATGCCATTAAATCATGCATAGGCTATGCTATTTAAGTGCATGCATATAAAATATAAAACATCCACACATATTGTATTAAAACATTAATAGCCCTAAATCTGTTTGTCTCTGGGTCAATTTGTTTGAATTGCATTGCACACTGGTAAAACCAGTGCCATCCAGAAAGGTCTGTAGTCCAGCATTCAGATTTTACTATTTGGACAAACTGTCAGTGGAGCTCAGGGAGTCACAGTGTGTCTTCAATGGGAATGTGCAGACTCAGACCTCTCCTTTCCAAAGAGCTGATGTCGTTTTTTTCTCTGTTTTTACAGGAAAAAGTCACCCTATCCTCCCAAATGCATCCTTAATTAATTCTGGGGCCCACACATTGGAATGGAATCCCTAATGGACGTCCTCAGTAATTGTCTGCAAACCCAGGCAAAGGGGCCTCAAATCAAGTGTAAGCCTTTGCAGAACTAGTGGTCAAGTTCCTTGTGATCAGCAGGGCCATGCTAAATGTCAGTAAATATGGCACTTGAATCAAAGTGTCTAATTGATAAGCAAGGAATATCCTGATATCTGGATACTATGCTCTGGGGAAAAAGCTCATTTTTGCAATGTATCAACCATATTTAACTATATTCATATATTTTTTAGTTATGTGCACATACAAATAATTTGAAAGATATAAATGCATATTTACAAAATCATAAAAGTTTATTTAAAAAATAGCGTTTATTATGTGCACCGACATGTGTATCTTTGACAGGTTAGACGATATCCTAGAGCAATACACTCCACAAAGCTAAATTAAGGATCGTCCTGCTCTAAGTCATCACTGCACTAATCAGAAAATTAGCCACGGTTTTCTTTTGAGCTAAGTTAGACAGCTTAACTTCTGTATTGGCAGCGCTGCCACGGTTACGTAACGTTAACTGCAAGATAAGTTAGCGTGACAATTAATTCTAACTTTGCACGCAAACTGAAAGAAACGGCTTTGTTTCTTTATTTGTTGTAAGCTGTTATTTGGCAGAGGTGCTGGTTAGTAACTAGTTATATAGTTAACCTTTGCAAACAAAGTACACGGCCCTTTGTACTTGTGTTGCTACCAACCAACGTGTGCGTTTATCTGCTAGCACCAGGTGTGGAGAGTGGAGGAAGGAAAGGAAAGGTCAACATTTATATCGTGCGAGGATGTGGTGAAGATATTGAAGACTTCAGGTAACATTATGTTCACAGTAATTTTGCAACAATTCTAATAAGACAAGACTGTTCTGCGCCTTGTATTTAAATATATTATCATTAAATGTATTTAAATTTGCAGCCGTGGCATAACTTACAACTAACGTTAAGTTAATGTTACAGTATTTTAATGGATCGCGGGCTCAACCTACAGAGGTTTTTGTTGGTGGGTGGAGGCTAACATTAGCGTTAACTTTAGCTATGTAACAGTTGAATCACGCGCAATTAGAGGGGTTGTGTCTGTGCAGAGCTCATTTAGCGTTAGCAACTAGGTTTTTGGGTCTGTAATGGGTAACGTTACTAAAAAACGGCGGTTGCACCACTGAGACAAGTTACATCAAAGCTAACGTTAATGCGCACGGTTACCATGATGATGGAACTTATCTTTGAATCATGGTGCAATAAATTTTAGTAGCAGCCGTTAGAAACTAAGTTTAAAAAAGCTAGTAGTGAAACCTCTAGCGGCGACTTTACACCCTAACTTGGGAGAGAACTTACACACAGCTGGTGCAACCCAGTGCTGACATTTTAAAAGATGAATCCATGCGCAAAACTGACCATATCATTTTGTGTTTAATAAAACAACTGTATTTCCGCATTGTGGACTGCGGTTGGGTTCAGGGTGCACAGTATGCTTTGTTCCATTTGCCCTCCTGTTGTGTTTTCCAGATGTCAGCAGACAAGATGAACAAGGAAGACGTTTTGACAAAGCTGAAGAGGGATGTCCGTTCTTTGCTCATTTCATCTAAGACGGGCTTGGACCCTGATCAGCTCAGGCGAGACTATGTCACCATGTTGGGGCATCCCATGCCCCTGAAACTCCTGGGCTTCAGAAACATCATGGATATGGTGAAGGAGATACCTGACGTGGTCTCAATTAATTTCAGGGCAGATGGCAGCATATTCTTAAAAGGTAGAGTCCCTTTTTTTCATTTGAGTATGAGTTTGAATTTGCACTGTTTCAGTTAAACATTTAGGAAATAAATGAATATGTTAGTAGCATTTGATGCATAAGCCCTCTCAAACGTTTGCCTATCAACACCTGAACAATGTCTTGTACTTAATGCTCTCACCTTTTGTATGTCCGCCATCGCAGCTATTGGTGACGAGTCCACCCGAAACATAGAGGAGCTGGTAGCTAAGCAGCGCATGTCCAAGAAGGTCAGGAGGGGAGGGGTCAGCTACTTCTCACCCCGCTACAGCTTCCCGACCCCCTCTGTGGTCCTTCCCAGAAGAGGTCGCGCTCCCATGGCTCTCCATGCTCAGCTGAGGGCACAGCTCCGTCTACTGCTCTCCCAGGTATAACTTGAACATACCCTGTGAAGTTTATTTATAAACACACAGCTTTTTTTTTTTTACATTCATTGTTTCTCACCAACAAGAATTGTGTGTGTCCTCCATAATGAGGTGTGCTGTTTGGGTCTGTTATTTTTCAGCTGTTTCATTAAAATATATCAAGGACCAGAATCACAGAGTCTATGCCAACCCTTCTTTCCCTGAAATGGGTCAAATATAATCAAAATGAGAGGATGTTTCTTGCAATGTCAAACATACCCTACTAAATCAGAGAAGTAAAGGCCTGGCTGACTTTTTCATCTATAAATCATGTACCTCTGTTACTGCAAAATGTTGTCTAGTTTGAAGTAAGGATGCAGCTGCTCTTCCAGGGTCCACTCATGTTGTCAGATTTGGAGGCCTGCTACCTGCGCTGTTTCGGCCACCCGCTGCGTGTCCACAACTATGGCTTTTACTCCACTGGAGAGATGCTGGAGGCAGCGTCAGATCTGATCCTTATCCAAAATGGCAGGCTGGGCTCGATTCTGACCCTGAGGGAACATATGGTGCCCAGGCCACTGCTTACATCGTGCAATTTGCCAAGGAGGACATCACCAGTACAGTCGCAACCGCCTGGAACTGACAAGTTAGCCTTCAAAAGGCCAGACACCAGTGCTAAGACACCAACAATAGCCCCAGGTGTGTTATTAGAGAGCAAGGTTTACACAGTCGGTAAATCCATGAGTTTTTTGAGACACATCCTGCTAGAATATGTCTCTAAAAGCAGTCCATATCCAGTGTCTTTATGTTGCATTTTTGAGATTGCATAGCTATGTAATCTGTCCACTGTGCATGGATTGGCTAAATGTTCATAGGGTTATTATGTCAGTAATGACAGACCAACACCCCATTCATACATTCAATTATTTTATTGTAAGTTTTGCACAGAAAAGCACTGAGCAGGGCTCCTCATGTTGTGAAGCCATGTCATCATAGTTTTGAAATGCCTTTGTCATTTTTTCCAAATGAAGCCCCGGTGAGTCCTCTGAACCAGCGCTCTGCTGAGACTACCTCGGGCTCTGTCTGTAAAGCGTCAACAAGTGTCAGTAAAAAGCCAGAGGTGGTTGAGAAGGAACAGGCAGACCCAGAGCTCCAGGAAGGTTGCCTCTTTGAGAAAAATGTCCTCAAGGTTTGTTCTCATTGAAAACAAGAAAATGTAGTACCTGTCCTGCACTTGCAGCTTGTTGCTTGAAACAAGACATGAGATCAAGAAATGAGTGAAAAAGAGACAACACATGGCTATTTGAAGGAGCATTTATCCAATGTTCTGTTGTTATCAGGTCTTACTGCATAAACTGGATACACAGACAAAACTTCATCAGGTGGCAAAATACAGGAAACTAGTATGAGAAAGAATAGAAAATTGGTGTAGGAAAAGTGTTTGTCAGTTGTGTGTTGCAGCTACAACCTAAAGACTTGTTGTCGTCACATGGAGCTTCCGAATTATTTTCAGAATGGATTGGTCATGATTAATTGTGGCATCCCAGCAAAATACAGCAAATACTTCTATATCTATACTAACAATGGGGGGGAAATATTTTGTGAACAGTTGTTTGTTTTTAAGTACAATTATCTTTGTTCTTTTTACTTAAATTCTACATCAGTTGGAGGAGGAGCTTCGCCAGCAAATCCTGGAGAATGGCATTGCTGGCACCATTAGTCAGGAGCTGAAGGACAAGCTACGAAAGGTTAGACTTCCTGTTACTTTATAAGCAGATGTGTTAGTGTCACTAGTGACTACAAAACTCTGCTATGCTTTGCTTAAATAGGAAAAATTGTTTTGGTACAAAGATAATGTAATGAAAATCTTCATATGATCATGACTGTCTGCAGGTTGTAGGTCAGACCAGTGGTGGATTATCGGTTCACGATCTGCCTGCTGAATTCAAGGTATAAAAATAGTCCTGCAGTGCTCTTGTTCACCTTCAGTTTGAGTAAAATTAGTCATGAACTTAAGATGTAATTCATTTGAGCAACTGGATTCAGTCCTTCCAGATTTAGTTCTCTGTTTTGGATCTGTTTCTTGAGTTTTTGAGCTCCTTACTGAAAGTAACACCCTCACATTCAGCTTACCTGCCCGTGATAGTGATTAGGAAGCGAGCAGTTTCAGGACAAGGCTGATTCTGTGTAATGAAGCAGAGCTCAGGTGATAATGAAAGAAATGTGGTGATCTTACTGTGGATATCTCACCTGTTGAATTGGTTTTTGCTCCACAGAGGCTTTTTGGTGAGGACATCCCACTGCAACAGAGCGGCTTTGTCAGTGTCACTGAACTGGTTAGCGCCATGAGTGACACTTTCCACCTGAAACCTGCAGGGCGTGATAACGGAGAACACTGGATAGTCATGGACATACAAGACAGTGACATTGTGCAATCAGGTTGGATGTGCATGCAAATAGTAGCAGTCAATATCACCCTAATTACTTCAGTAAGTGTAACACCAGGCATTTTGATAAACAAAGTATATACTGGAACCATATTACTTATTTGCTTTCTATGCATCGATATTTTACATGGGTAACCAAGTACGAATAAGGTTGGCTTGGAGGAATGGTGGAAAGTAGTGCACATTGAAAAATTATTTATTTGGTGGTTACACTAAGTGCTATCACCCGTTAATGTTGCTGTAAATATAAATGTGTTTATGGAGGTGTTTTTGAATGGAGAACCCCCTCTTTTTCCCCTTCTCTATTAGTTATTTATCCTCTACCAGTGTCTGAGTACAGCAGTCTGTGTTTGGTTCTGCAATCAATACCTTTTTTATCAATGGCCTGTTCTAATAAATGGTTGTGTGTTAGATTCCATGTGACAAAGCCGTCGTGTGGTCGTTTTCAACTAATATTTCAATTTTGTAGACTCAAAGGAGCTGCCATCTACAAGCTACTACCTGAAGTATGGAGAGTCTCCTTGGGACGGCAAACATGGAGGAGACAATGATAATATCACAGCAGACGACGAGAACAAGGAGCTAGAGAACAGTACCAGTTCCAAGATCCAAGATATGGTTAGGCAACATCTTTTTCATTATGTCATTTTACACCATAAGGACAATCTTTGAGAGACCTAAAGGAAGATTTTGTAGTATAAGTAATTATAGCATCACATGATGTGATGTCAGTGCAAATCATGAATTGCATTTAACAAGCATGTGTCAATGCCCCATTATCAGTGTACTTTGCTGTGTACCACTATCACTATCACTCTGCTTTTCATGTGTCCGCCTGTAGATGTCTGAGATGTACCCTGCTATTCCGACGCATTCCAGCCCTGCGGTGCCACTGGACGCCCTGCAGAGTCAGCGTCTCAAAAGACCGACACGGCGTGGTGCTCGAGAGCTAGTAGAAGTCATGGTGGAACAGGTGGAGTCGCCTGGATATTTCCACATCCGCTTCAGCGAGAGTGAGGAGGCACGAGCTATGGAGGACATGATGATTGAGATGAGGTGGTAGACATGTTAGTGGCTGCTTATTCAAAACATAATGTGCCACACTTTCTGTATCTATTGTGGCCGCTGTATTATTATGCATCCCCTTAGGAACTTCAGTATAATCTATGTTGTGAAACATCACAAAATCAATCACTGTCAATATGAACTTCCTGATGCTGCTCTATGAGCAATGACATCTCTTGTTTCCTCTAGACGATGTTACACCTCTCCTGAGGTGTCAGGGCGCTACCGCCTCCCTGAGCGATTTGTCCGACGGGGTCAGGTCTGCTGCGTGTCACCCAAAGGAATGTGGTTCTACCGGGTGGTGATCCATCAGATCATCAGCCCCACTCAGGTCGAGGTGTACTATGTCGACTTTGGCGACATAACTGTGGTACAGAGAGCCAACCTCAAGTTTCTCAAGTAGGGCATCTCAGACATTTAAGCAGTTAAACAAAACCGCTACTACTATTGCTGATGCTGCTGAGCTGATCAGTGTCTGTGTTTTGTTGTGCTTTCTACAGTTCATCTCTCTGTTTTTCAGGTCATGTTATTCGGTTCTTCCAGCACAAGCTGTTCCATCATCACTTGCTGGAATTAAACCTACCATTGTGAGTCTGATAGGATAGCTAATGATCTATTCAGTTACCTGGCAAATGTGAGCTCTCTTCCAAAGGTCTGCACTAACTTCTTGCTAATCATTATCAGGCTATATATGTGTGTGTGTGTGTGTGTGTATATATATATATATGTATAAATGTGTGTGTATATATGTATATATGTGTGTGGCACACCTGTGCAATACCCATGCTGTCTGATCAACATCTTGATATGCCACACCTGTGAGGTGGATGGATTATCTCGGCAAAGGAGAAGTGCGCACTAACACAGATTTTGACTGATTTGTGAACAGTATTTGAGAGAAATAGGCCCTTTGTGTACATAGAGAAAGTCTTAGATCTTTGAGTTCAGCTTATGATGAATGGGGGCAAAAACAAAAGTGTTAAGTTTATAATTTTGTTCAGTGTAGAAAAATTCCCCTTTGTTAACCAGCTAGAGTGTGGAGCAGAGGATTTGGCAGACTTGGCAAAGTTTCTTTAAAAATTGCTCTCAGTTGTGCAGATTCATCTCCATAATCATATATTGGGAATCCAAATGTAGCTACAACCCTTTTCTAATAATAACAGTATTTGAGAATTAAACTTTAATTGAACCCACAGTCAATGTCCCCTCCAACACAAACTGCAGACTGACCTATCCTTAGCGCCCCAATTGTTAAACTTGTGAAATCTTCCTTCATGTTTGGAGTGTGGAAACACTCATCAGTGTTTCTCAAGAGTAGTCGTTTGCTGTGTTTCTTTATTTATTAATACTATATTTACAAACAAAATCATAGTGCAATAGCATTTGTGGTCATCAAGTGCCCTCTATCGTGGCATTTCATGTCAGTCCAACAAGAAAGTTAAAAACATGTCTTCAACAGTGTGCCTGAATAGTCTGGTGGTTAAGCTCTTGCCTTTCGGATCCAAAGGTTGAGAGTTCACATCCTGTTCCAGGATTATTAGCCAAATACAGCAAACCTGAGCAGACGTGTTTGCTGAGCAAGTCTGCGGCATACAATAGATTCTTTTTACCAGTAGGTGGCACTACATTATTCAAATAAATTGCTGATGGAGCAGCAGTTTGCAGCGGTAGCAGCCACAGCTAAAAGCTGACAGCTCGCACATGCATCTTCTTTAGGAAATGCCCATTCTATTTGTAATTTTATTAGATTTTGATTACTTTTTTTCATATCCCACCAAACTCTTCATGATTAGTTATGTTTTAAAGTTCTATAAGAAAGGTATAAAAGCACAAAACAATGATTGGGTCCTGTATTGTTTAAAAAAGCAAGTAACAGTAGCAAGTAAGTAGTGTTCTGTACTTTCATCTTGCTGCTTGCAGATTTTTGCACTTGCTTATATGAATAAATCCAAACTGTCAAGCTGCAGATGTTATGAAATGTTCTGTTGCCATGGAGCTTTAATAATAAGAGTGGTGTTGTTTGGTCATTGCAGGGCAGATGGACTGCTGAGGCCACGGCTTCTTTCCAGAAGTTGTGCTGTGATCGCACCCTGGTGGGCGCTTTGGATAGTTACATTGGAGATGTGCTGCAGCTCTACCTGTGTGACACACATACTGATAACGACATCTACACCCACACTGTCCTGCTGAACCAGGGTCATGGGACAGCATGCAGCCGTGCAGCCAGTGCAGCAGTAAGCAACACACTCCTAACTATGGGTCAATCTGACTACGGACAAATGTTGATGTGGCCATGCTCTAAATAAAATATTGAAATACAGTTGATATATTTGATTGATATTTATACTTGTTCCATACAACCACTTTTAAATTACTTGTACTTCATTTTTCTTTCCATAGCTTTGTGTCCAGCTCAGCCCAGTGAGTCTCTACCTGGGGGAGGGAATGGTTGACTTGCCAGAGCTAGAAGAGGAGACCACTTCCTCCCCCATACCAGTAAACATGCAACAGTCAATGTCTGATTCCCCGAAGGTACTCTAAAAACACACACACAGTTAGCTGTTGCTGTTCCATGTGAACATCTTTTGAGGTTGCAGTACATCCGAACAGAACATTAGTGTCAGTACTGGGTTACTTAGATGTTTGTGGTGGATTTGCAGCTTTATGTCTCAATTGTTCCTTATCTATGAGCGCATTCTTTGTCACTTCTCTCCCTCCCGCTCTCACTTCCTTTTTCTTACGCAATCTTTTAATGTTGCTGTAAAGCTTTTATTCTCCACTGTCCATAGCTCTTATCTTACCAACCATGCTGTCAGTGCTGCAGGCCCACTGCAGCACCACGCACCCTCAACACATGCTGGCATGCACACACAGGCACAGAGTCAGTGTAGACACTCACATCAAACACACAGTCCAATGCTACTTAAGGAATAGTCACAGTTCGGAATGTCATAGCTTGTTGCTGGAGAATAAATAAGATGACAGCCAATCAGTTGGCTGTTTAATGGATATTGGATACAATATGTGTCCTTCATATTCATAAGAGTGGATGGTTGTTAAATTCAACATACAGCAGAGGAGATTTTACAGTGTTACTGTCGATGACTGTATTACATAAGCACCAGTTTTTTGTTTATTGTTTTGGAGGCAAAATTATGAAATGAAAAGTATACGTTTACAAGCACAGATGGAACTACAAAGGCAGAACAATGAAATGATGAGGCAACAGTAAACCCTTTTCCCTGTTGACTAACCATTTATAATTAGAGGTCGACCGATATGGTTTTTTTCACACCGATACCGATCTTTTGAAATCCGGGTCGGCCGATTGCCGATTAATGCTGCCGATTTATTTTGGCCGATATTTGCTTGGTTTTTAACCTCTATTTGCACCGAACTGAAGCACAGAAATCCGCGTTGATATTCGGTGTGGTAGATAACGGTCGTTAAGGTTCCAGTGCCGTATTAGCACCGGGTCTGTCTGTAGCTACCCGTTAGCAAAGAAAAACAAAGTCCATCTGTCACTAGCCTATAGTGCGTTGGTCTCTTATTTATTACTTATTTCTCTGCATTGAGTGACAACCCTCTCAAATATAAGACAGAAACAAATAAAAGTCTCAGATTCACTCTGTAATTGCAAAATTATTGCTTACTTATTGTGACATGATAGCAACTCTTCTGTGATAATGCAACTTCAACTACGATCCAAATTAGCCGAATGTCATGTGTCTTATTCAGGTTTTTTCTCGAAGTTGGCAGTAACATATCAAAAGTTTTTAATAAAATATAAAGGAGTAATAAGAATTGAATCCTTACCGTTAGCTCCTTAGGCACTGGATGAGGTCTGCTGCTCACTCGGCTGGACAATGACTCTAGCGGCAGCGCGCGTCAAACACGTGTTCCACGACAACACTAGGCTGCCCACAGATGCGCCTGCCTAATAATCGACTTGATATACTTGGATATTGGCCGATGCCGATTATGTTAAAAAATGCCAGAAATCGGCCGATTAATCGTCCGACCGATTAATCGGTCGACCTCTATTTATATTAACACTAAAAAACAGATTTTGAAATATATTTAATTGCTGTATCATGTTTGGGAGGGTTTTAGTCTTTTTTTAGCACTAAGGCTCGAATCTCGGTCAGTTGTACTTTAATAGCTGTCATATTTACACAAAATGTATTAAATGAAGCTCTAAAAGTACCTTCATTGAAAATGTGACCTTTGCAGTATTAAATAGTGCCTCTTTTTTATTGTAGGTGAAGGTTTTATTTCATAAGTAAAGTTTTCTTGTGATGATAATGGGGGCATTAATTTGGGTATTTCAGGAAACCTTGTAGCTGTTAGAACAATACCTGAGTTAACATGGTCACAAATATATTGCCATGAATGTGAACAGCTTGTAAGTAGGGTCAGGTGACAGGCTGTTTTATGTTCATATATGCAGTCTCACCAGCTGAAATGAAATGAATGAATGTGCAATATAACATAAAATCTATCTAGTGTATGTTGGTTTATGAACAAATGAATAAAAGTGCTGTTAAAAAATTTCACTGTACAGTTAAATTAGTTGATTCTAAAGGAAACAGGAAATTTCTTGGTGTCTCAGGTTAAAGAGGAGGAGCTGCCCGCCCTAGAGTTTATTGAGGACAATGAGGTCAGCCGCCACATCCAGGTATGACCACCTGACACCTTGTCCACACCCACACCACCACTGCCTTCATTCCACGTACTTGCAAATCTTAGATGATTTAAGTATCTGTGTGATACTTCATTTACCATGTTGTTGGTTTGTTTGTTCAGCATCTGTATTGCAGCACCAACTGAAAATGTGGTGAACTGAAAGACTGAGTAGAAATCTTGCAGTGTAAACTGGTTTAATTGATTGAGTGTACGCCAATAAACATAAATAAACAGTTATTAATAGCAATTTTTGTAATTGGAGCCTTGCCTTAATAAGGTTAAGACTTTTCAGTGTTTATATCAAGTTGCCAGTGAAATACAACTCGGGTTATTGTGTTGTGGATTGGTGATTCTACCTATTTTAAATAAAGCATAAATGGAGTAAGATAGATAATGACCTGCTGCGCCACATGATGGTTCACGCGCACAGCGGCACAGACAGTAACTGAATTGTCACAGCCACACACACGCTAAAATATGTCATCGGCGTGGAAGCTCTTCACCATGAGTGAAGAAGACACAACACTTGCAATTTGTAATACCTGCAAGGTTAAAATAAGCTCTGTTTCTATGTACAGAATTTACTTGGGTGGACCACCCAGGTTTATTAACAGCCACCACGTATGTTTGGCAGAGAAACAGAGAGAGAGAAACAATCCGTGTTATTATAGTAGAAGGCACAGAGACGGTGGATATTTTAAAGCACAGACCAGTTAAAGCAACAGTGAACACAACTGTTGGTGCAGTTGACATTCAGTATCACGGTGATATTGCTTGTTTCAGAAAGCTCTATCCAGTAACCTAACCTAGAGCACTTTTTATTTTGAGATGTTTGAGTGAGAGAAAGTTCTTGTAACCTGTTTGTCTTGTTTATTTATGTCTTGTTCAGGGTAAGGACGCCAACCTGTTCAATGCTCTGCTGTATGACCAGACCCTCAGTAGTTGTAAATTGAGCAAGAAATCGCCTCCTACCAACCGTTCCAGTCCCACTTCCAGCCCTCTTGTCCCTCCAGATTTGATCCAGACCAGGACAAGCCCAGCCCAGCTCACCCCAGCTGATTTTAAAGTGAGAAGACATTAGTTGGTTTAATTGGTTTTATGGAAGCAAAGTCATTGTGGATTTATGTTTTTTGTAAAGCACTTACACAAAGCACTAATAGAGTAAGTGATGGTCTTTTTTGTCCATTAAAGAAACTTTACTCTGTTCTCAGACACTGAGCTTGACTCCGTCACCAACTCCATCCAACATAAATTTTAGCTCATGCTGTCTGACACAAGAAGAGGAGCAGCACCAGCCCAAAGTCACTGAGCCCTCATTGGTCAGGCCACCTCCGATCCTGAGGACCTTGAGCCTCCACACCCCTAACCTGGGCCAGGGTACATATACATGCATACTAATTTAGTTTTTGCAAGTTGATAATGTGCACATAAGTTATGACCTAAAGAATCCAAGCTTAAGTATTAAAATTCGAAGTGCGTAATTGCAGCAGATTCATATAAATAATTTGCTTCTTTTTTTTTTGTAGAGTGACAAATTTGATTTTGCCATTTGAATTGTTTTTGAATGGCAACAACAGTACTTTAACCCTAACCCTTCAAATTCATAGTTTTCACACGACGTCACATTCCAATGAAAACGCTTCCTTGGAGGGCAATAAGACGTTATTTTCCGCTGCTCACCAACCAGGAAACAAGTACTTTTGCGTTGCCAAAATGTTGGATGGTTGTGCTTTCGGATGCACTAATTGACGACGCAAGCCTGAGCTGTGTTAGGTGAGGGATACCCCTCAAGGTAAACATAAACATTACCACAGTCAAGCGCTGGCAGGGACCTGGCAGTTTGTATGAATTGTAGAAAGATTACACTGGAGCAAAAGTGCTAATGAACATACAAAGGCTTGCCTTGTCCCTTGCACACACACTCATTTTCTAATAGGATTATACAATGACCTTCAATAACCTGCACATGTATACACAGAGAGAGAGAGAGAAGCCTTCAGTGAAATTAGTGGGTGTTGATGTAGAGAGGATGTATTGATTTTAATCCTGCTGCTTGCAGTGGTGGATATACCTGCCCTGAGAACCTGACACAGATTCAATTAGACCTGTTACCAAAGCTATTTGACCCAACAAGCTGCTTTCATTTCATTTCATTGCGTTTGTCCTGATATCAATACACTGATGCTTCACCGTGCTTCTACTTCTGCACACTATGAATGGGGGGAAAAAAAGCAAGGCAAACTGGGTCAAGGCAGATTTATCTACAAATCGCTTTTTGTGAACTGTAGCGTTACAATGTGCTTTACACAGCTGCAAAATACAGATAAAAACACAAGATAGAAACAAGAATTAGCACACAAGAGATTAGAGGATATGATATTTGAGTGTGTGTGTACTGTGAATACACATTTGACACATTCTGAAAACCTGCTGAATATATTCCCTGTAGTAGCTGTAATGTTCAAGAGTACTCAGGGTATGCTTTGTACACACTAACATCACTGTCTGGTGTGGGTGCAGGTCCAACAGAGCACAATTCTGACCACAACTCGCAGTAGCATCGTGCGACTCACTTTTTGTCTGCGACTTTATTAAAAATGGCCCATTAAATTTTATGGGCTAAATGACCAAGAAGCGATTAAGTGTACTACAGACAACTTTGTTCAAGTGGTTCACAATAAAATGATGGTTATTGATGAAGTTATGTATGATAAAACACAACTGATTTATCAAGTATCAAGGCATGTTGACAATGTAATACTTCATAGAATTTCACTGTTTATGTAGTTCGCTCACTTTTTTCCTAAGCTAAGCGGTCGCATCACCATTTAAAGACACTTCGATATGTACAATAGGTAAACACATCGCATTTTATACTGTTGTGACGTTCAGCGCTGATTTTAGTGGCTTTCGCAGAAGTAGCGTACTGTGAATTCACTTAGACTTTTTGTTGATAAAGATTGTGTGTGTGTATATATATATAATCACACTAAACATCTCTAATAGTAATGTCTTAATTATTGTTAATTAAATATGGTTTTTTTTCTGTTGTCCAGGTGTACCCGTTTGTCCGCTCAATCTGCGTAACTCTGGCATTCTGTTTCCTCTGTTTGGGGCCAGGTAGTATGTGTCTCCTACATCCACCCCAAACCAAATCCCAACACAAGGAAATGAAAGTTAGTTTTCATGTAATTTTAATGTATTTTAGTTCAATTGTATGTTAGGTTTTATTTGGTAGTTTGATATTGGTGTAATTGTTGCACAGTTAAGTCTTTGAAGACTATAAAATATAACAAATGGATGGCTGCCCTTTTTTTTAATGTGAATAAGCTTGTGAAAGGTTTTTGTTTAAAAAAAACAAAAAAAAAAACAACTGTGTGAAGTGTTTTATCATTTTCTCAGAAGCCATCAAGGTGTTTGATTTGTTGAATGGTTTAATTTCCTTGTATGTTTAAATTGCTGTTCTGGACAGGGTTAAAAAAATTCAAAATGCTGTTATAATGGACATTGAAACATGTAAGTCAATGACAATTTTATTTCATAAAATAAAATCTTATTTGATAGAATATTTGTCATGTAATACTTTAGTAGTGGGTTTTAGTAGGATGTTTCTTTCCACTTTTTCCTTCATCGCTTCAGTGGATCTAATGTCTGACATAAATATGCAGACCAGTTTTAAAACACAGTGCTCCTGGCCTCTTCTCACCCTGTCAAGTTTCTGATCCAGCACGTAGTCACTCATTTCTGTTTAGCTGTAAATGAACAGGCAGTCAAAACATGCTCTTCTGCTAGGAAATGTCAGAAGGCAAATACTGTTCTCTACTATCATTGGTGTAAGCTGAAGTCTAGGCTGAAGTCTACAAAATAGACTTCAAGAGTATTTTGTATTGTTTTAGCCACATTAGCAGGGTTCCACCAGGGGTGGCTATGTAGGTCTCAGATTGGTAAATCCCTGAGATTTCCTATAGTGCCACCATGAGGTTGACATTTGTGGCTCTGAGTGAAATGTCTGAACAACTATTGGATGGATTGCCATAATATTTGTTAAAGACATCCATGTTGTATCTTTCAGAGCTCATAGTACCTTATTTCTCTACTAGAACATTGCACTCCCAGTTTCTTGTGGTTCCTAGATTCTCCAAAAGTAGAATGGGAGCAAGAGCCTTCAGCTATCAAGCTCCTCTCCTGTGGAATCAGGTCCCAGTTTGGGTTAATTGAACAGCAGACTTTAAGACTTTACAAGTAGTTCTGGGCTGATTTCTCACCTTTCTTAGGATCATTGAGACCCCACGAGGTGAGATCTTGCATGGAGCCCCAGTCCGAGGGAGATTGACAGTCATTTTTAGCTTCTTCCATTTTCTAATGATTGCTCCAACAGTGGACCTTTTTTCACCAAACTGCTTGGCAATTTCCCCGTAGCCCTTTCCAGCCTTGTGGAGGTGTACAATTTTGTCTCTAGTGTCTTTGGACAGCTCTTTGGTCTTGGCCATGTTAGTAGTTGGATTCTTACTGATTGTATGGGGTGGACAGGTGTCTTTATGCAGCTAAAGACCTCAAACAGGTGCATCTAATTTAGGATAATAAATGGAGTGGAGGTGGACATTTTGAAGGCAGACTAACAGGTCTTTGAGAGTCAGAATTCTAGCTGATAGACAGGTGTTCAAATACTTATTTGCAGCTGTATCATATAAATAAATAGTTAAAAAATCATACATTGTGATTTCTGGATTTTTTTTTTTAGATTATGTCTCTCACAGTGGACATGCACCTACGATGACAATTTCAGACCCCTCCATGATTTCTAAGTGGGAGAACTTGCAAAATAGCAGGGTGTTCAAATACTTATTTTCCTCACTGTACATACCCTATAGACACACAATAATATTGTATAACCTACATTTACATACACAACAAATAGTGTATGTATGAAAACTCAAACCTTGTAACAAACCTTATCTCATGCATTTGCATGCAAACAAACAGTAAACAAAACTTTGTAAGTCAAGTAGGCCTACATGATAATCCAAACATACACGCACAGTGATGAAACAATGGCCATGTCCTGATTTTCGAGCAGACATACAATGGCAATGGTTTATGATCACACACAGCACTCATTTCTCAACACCAACACACAACAACAAAAAGCTTTTACAAATATACACACACGTTGCAAGGCATTGTGTGATTCAGGCTTCATTAGTGTCTGTATGTGTGTGTGTGGAGGACGGTGAGGGTTGGTATGGCAGACACAAAGTAAACCTTATTAAGATGGAGAGTAATGTGGTTGCAGCTGAATTAGCAGCCAACAGCAGCAGAGCATCAGTGTGCTGAATGAACCTTGAAGATCAGATGGCTTTGATTTACAGTCGAGATCCTAAACCAAACAAGAAGGCTGTTTTTGCTTCACAGGGGTTGGTTTGCTGATTAGCTGAGTATGAGATGATGGGTACTATTGAACATCTGGTTGTTTGTCTCCAGTTTTTTACATTTAGAATACGTCACCCTAGTAGAAACTGTCATAATCTAATTACAAAATCATGCAGATGGATCACTGATGGTGTGATGAGCTCACAGTCAAACAGAAATGAACGGTGTCTACTCACTATTGTTGAGAGTCAGGTCTTGACTGTGCAAGACAAAGAACATAAATGTGGCCATTAGAGGGCAGTAGTGGAAGGTACAGTACATTTACTTGAGTACCGAACATGCGATTTTAATGTACTGTACTTGAGTACTCCACTGCATTTTACTCTACAGATTAACATTTTAGAAAAAAAAAAACCTCAAAAGCTAATGCATTTAATAAAGAACATATAAAACATAAAGATTAAACTAGTGGTTCCCAAACTTTTTGACCTCTTACAAAAACAAGTGTTTTGGACAAATCCTACGAATCCATTGGGAAGATCATGTGAGTGCCGAATGCGGGCATGAAGCCACTGAGCGCTGAAATGGAAGATGATTGAGCACACATTTTCAATATGAATACTTTGAAAGGATCAAGACAACTATAACAACACGGTGATGATATGGGCACCAGAAGGGAGATGGAAGAGATGAAGACCAGTTTCAATGACCACCTCAGCCAAATACAAATGCCACTTACATTTATGCATTAGTAATAACATTTGTGATTTATAATTATGTCTCAGTCAAGGGCCATTTCTCTACAGAAAGAGTACTTTTACTTTTGATACTTTACACATGCTCATGATACATTTGTACTTTTACGTGGGTACAGTAGGATTTTGAACTTTTACATGTAACCTGGCATTTGTGATCAATACTTTTACTTCTGCCAGATGTGTATTTTATTACCTGAATGGTAATGATATTGTGTTTACGGTAAGTAAAATGCCACCCAAGTCTTAATGGAAATGTGGTTATAATAAAATTTTCACTGGTACTGTGGTAGACTAGTAATAGAGTTTTTTTTATTTTCCACATATTAGAGAAATAAAAAACTAGAGGTAGGGTCATAGACTGTATGGGTAGGGCAGAATATTTGATATTGAGCTTAAAATGTGTCAACAGATACTGTTATTGATGTTGTCCTCAGTGTCAGTTGTCACAGTAATACAAAGGGCAGAAAATTATATCTCAGATTGCTAGTATTTTCTCTATTATCTAGTCTCTTCTTTGTTTAACAGCTTTTTCAGTTAGGGATTTCTACAGTGTTTTTGTCTGTCTGTGGTGGTGGATTTTCACACTGCTTAGTGGATCAGCTTTTTGACCATAATGTTTAGGAATGATTAGCTGCATAATCTGGTCTTCCTCTTCCCTTCCAACCATCCTTCCTACATTGCTCATTTTATTGTCTTCCCCGCAGCCCAGACCCGTTTGCAGCAAGCATTTTATTTGCTGTGGTTTTGGATTTTTGTAGGTTACTTGTAGGTATTTACGCTTGTGTTCTATCCATCCGTGTGCTTCTGCTGTATGTTAATGTGTTGGTGTGTCCATGTGTGCGTTGTAGTAAGGTGCTGTGTGTAAATTAGGGTGTATTAAGTCACACTCATGCACTGAGAGATCATTTCTAGAAGAGCGGCTTCTTTATTTTTATCCCTGTGTCAAAATCCTTATCTGCTGTATTAATTTGAAGACAATTCGAGGAAGAGCCTTCATTCTCCTGCTAATCCCTAAGGCCTCTAGTTCTGCTACTTCTACACACACACACACACACACACACACACACACACACACACATCAGCAGAAACAGCCCTCATAATTAAGCTTTTACACTCTACACATTTTATTTGCATTTATATGTCATGCTTAGTTAACAATTTCCTTTTCCCTCATACCAACTCCAAACAGTACTTTAATAATCATTACATGAACAAGAATGTGCCTTGTTGATTTGTGTGTTTTAATCAAAAGACTAGTCTAAAAGGGCACAGGGCCATATTTGAAACCATGACATTCCCGTCAACTTTAAAGACAAAATGGAAAATGTGCTCATTAGTTTTCTTTGAAAATATCAATACCACTTTCATTACAGCTAGCCTGGCTCTGTCCAAAGTTTAAAATACGCCTACCAACACCTATACAATTCACTTATGAAATGTTACATTTTGTCTATTGAATTTATACACAGAAAAAATGTTAAAGAGACAATTTGTGGTTTTATGGGAAGTGCGTGCCATAGGGCCTACAACTTTGGGCAACCAGTGGCTGGTTGCAATGACTTTCTGGACACCGCACGGTGAGCACTTAAATCCCCATTAAACTACCACTTGAAGTTTTTATGTTTCTTTAAACAAAGAAGATACATGCGGAAAATAATATAATTTAGATGTATTGATACTAGGCAGATTTTTTAACTTTGGACAGAGTCAGTGCAGCTATTTCTGTCAAGAGATCATCACTGATCCATCTGACAATTTTGTCAACGTGTAAGCTAACCAGTAATGTTGATATTGAATGGACACTTTAGAACATTAGTGGCTATAGAAGTCATTACTTATTATGTTATTATTCTTTATTCTTTGTGTCTTACATTTTTTCCTTTTTCTATCACCTGTCGTGAGGACCCTGCCCTTATGATTACTAGCCCTGCCTCCTGTCAGTCTTTACAGCTCTGAATTTATGGAGGCCTTGCAGAGAAGGAGGGAGGGAAAGAGTTGCCCTCATGACTGCACATTGTTGGTAAATGTTGTGTTTAAACCTTTCCCTATGAATGGACTGTAGAACAATCTGGTTTTCAGGAGGATGGGTGTCTGTAACTACTATGTTTATCCTCTCAGGAATTAATCTAATTGTAATAGTGAGTGACCTAAACTCAAGAACAAAACAACTCTTCAGAATGGGACCATTTATATTTTTCTATTGTAGTTATATTGAATAAGACTTTTTCTCAGAAAAGTCTATGTCACAAAACTCAAAACACATTCATATACAAGCCACTTCAAGTGAAATCTTGTGTGAGGCGAGTTGTTGCAGGAAAACGACGGTGGGAACGTGAGACAGAGTTTGTTGTCACAAACTCCTCTCCCTCGTTTCCACTGGCCTCTCACGAGATTTCAGAGTGACAATTGTCCTTGAGCGAGACTTCAGTTTCTGGTTA